ATCACAACCTCCTTTTCTTCATAGTGGTACGTAAGTGTGCCAGTCCTGTGTACTCCAGTACCTGTTTGGTGTTCTGTCTTCCCATTTTATTTTCACGATTGTACACAGATATCTGTGGAAGCTGTTCGGTCTCCTTATATGCCTAACATATGCAGTCCACATTTCTTAACTGTAAAGCAGGGTTGACAGTACCTAAGTCTCATAGATTTGCATCTTCACCTCAGCTGGTAGTTGCTGTTATTTTATGTACTTTTTTGTAATGGTCTAAAATTCTTAGCTGCTTTTCCAATTCTGTTGGTCAGTTCAGTCTGAAGGTCAAGATCCCCAATTTTCAGATTAAAAAAGTAACCCAAAATCTACTTTTCTTTTTGTGATTAAAATAAAACACCACTAATATGAAGATTATATATATTAGTGGTGTTTCATTTTAATCGCAGGAAAAATGTGGATTTTGGGTTCCTTTTTTTATCTGAAAATTGGGGATTTCTTTAACCGGAGAAAACTAGAATCTCTGCTAATAGCAAAGCCTGTTCTCTCCTTTCTCCTTCTGGCTTCCCATGCCAAAATATGGTATAATAATTCTCTTGGATAGAACCTGTATCTGACAGCCGAGTTTCTGATAACGCAGCAATAGTCTAACCAATTCATAGTTTAGTAGGGCCATTTTCAATAAATCAGAGTCAGAATCGAACCCAGGGAACAGAGTCCAAACACTTCAGCATGCAAGTCACTTTATCATTTTGGCCAGTATAGCTCACACCAAGACCTTCAGTGTGTCTGCGTAGGCAAGGTGTATGGAAGAGTGGAGGCTACCTTAAACCTGACATCCCATCTGTAGACCATTGAGAAGTGAGTGTTTACATATAAAATAGACTATTTAAGTTAAAGTCAGTCTTTATAAGTTCTAAAGGAATAATAAATGATAAATGGATGCTATAAGTGAAATGGGCATTATATATTTATATGTGGTTTTATTACAGATTGTAAGCCATGGTTAAATATCCTGATCTATAATAAATCTAAAACTGACCATTTATTAAAACATCTACTCTTCATTTTACCATTTATAAACCATAAATAGAATCTTAACTGGAAAGCTGCAGCTTTCCTTCTCTATTTGGCACCAAAACATGATTGTAAGTAACAACATAAGCAGGCCCACCTGTGATTACTTTTTGGTCCTCTTGTAGAACTGAAGAAAACATACAATTGGCCTTTGTCAAATGACTGGCAAAATGTTTTTGATGCACCCACTTACAATCTAGAGCCAGTTCAAAAGTCATGTCATAACCATAAACCTGCAACTGAAAAATGTGATTGGGAGACAAAATATACAATGAACTGCAAAGAGTTCAGCCAAATATTTGTTATGAATCAAGTCCTAACAATATAGTTAATTTATGCAAAAAGTCATCCATCTCCAACAGTATCTTCCTTGAATATTGCTGATGCATGTCAGGGGCAGTTTTAATGAACTTTTGCTGGGGTAGCTGCAGCCACATTAGGAGCACTTTGTCAGAAGTGGCTGTGCTTATACCTGTAAAACACTCCTTGTGTAGACATGGCTTCAGATTACCTTCCTTCCAGTGGGAAGGTGGGAAACCGTGCACTGAACTCGGTGACAATTCAGTTTATTCCCAAGGGAGCACATCTGTTTGTAACCTCAAGGCTGGTAGTAAGTCCACAACTGAATTACTGATAGTCTGCAGATATAGACAGTATCTCTTCCAATCTTAAGACTGAAGGAAACATTTGCTGTATGCATATTTCTTTAGACTTTAACGATTCAGAAATATCACTTGCCCTTGAAACAGTCAGAGCTGTTGATTTAATTTAATGGTAAATTTATAGGACTCAGTATACTTTAGTCATATTTAACAAACATCTTGTTGTATTTTGCATTTTTTTTAGATTTAATAAGACATGCATAAATTAAATACTAACCAGTTATTAAGTTAATTCTAAGTAGCAGTTAACTTCACAAGATGAAGTAAACTGGTTATTTAAATAGCTAAGCTAGATCATTCATTTGTTACATAGTTAATATCTATTGTATCCAACATCCATTTAATAACCCCAGTGCATATAAGATTGGAATTAAATTCATATATCTACCATTATCTTAGCTGTAGATACTTTACTGTTAATTAAAACAATATGCCTGTGTAGAACTGAGCTGAGGTGGCATGGAAGAGATCATAAACCTAATGTAGGGGCTTAAGATTCTACTCTGTCTGTTTAAATTGGACAACATTTTCCTTTGAAGCAGTCAGGAAAGGAAGTTACCAGACATGGATTTAATGAAAGACTTTTGCAGGTATTCAGTGCACAAGTAAAATATAATTGCTATTATTAAAGCTTAAGCCCATAACTTATTGCAAAAGGTACGGGGTGAAGACCATGTCCTTTTAATGTCTTACCCACCCCAAGGTTGAGTAGCATTTTGTGAATGGTATTCATCATGAATTCTGTTATTTTTCCCCCTATGGCCCCTGGCAGATGTTAATATAATGGCATGATTGGAGTCTAAGGAATTTTATGCCCCATCCCAAAAATCGCATGTCTTGCCATGTCTCCTCTGAAGACTCTGAATTGAAATGTCCCATAGTTTAACCATTTAAGTCACTGAAAACTTTAAATGTTTATAAACTCTTCAGTAGACTTTAACCATTTTGCAGTATTGTGACTTCTATCCCCTAATTACAAATGTCCAAAGCAACGTTTTGAACTTTACCTTGAAAATGTCAGAAACACTGACAGCGAAAGATAATCGTAATCATTCGTGCTGTGCATGAGGAAAGGGGGGAAATGCAGCAGAAGGGTCTCATAGTAATATTATTCACTGAGTACAATGATATAAATGATTTATTACCTTCTGAAATATTTTTTCTGTTGGCACAGCCTTACAAATTCTACCAAAAAATAGCATGACTTTTGCTTTTATTCATTAGGATTTGGCTGATAAGGAAATTCTTACTCAGATAATACTCCTTCAAACAATTGTCATGATGATTATCTGCTCACACCTTGACTTGAAGATTTCTACTAGCAAAGCTAACTTTCTCTGAGTGCCAGCTTCTTTCAGTAATTCCTGGGGAATTTGACATCAGGAAAGACGAATGCTGTTCTGAGAGTTCTTGAAGAGTCCAACATTTATGTAGTACCAATTGAGTAATTTCACCTCTGCAGTATTCTGAGTCTTATTGGACACGAAGAAACTGTTTTTGTGCAGCTAAAGCAGTCTTATTTTGAATTTTACTGGCATTTTACACTCTTTCTGCATAATTTGTATTGCATTGGATTGACAGGCTAGATTTGACTCTACCTTTTAGGGACTTGAAAGTTTCACTTTTAGACAGATGGCTTAACTTCCCCTTAAATAGGAATATGTTTACAGATGAGAAGATACTTCACTAATATATACTAACATGTTTCAGTGACCATTGACTGTAACCAAATAATGTTTTTCAGTATTTACTACTTTTTGGTCACTAAACATTTTAGTAGAAATGTTTAAGCACTAGAATATCACCTAACTCTTTCCTCTAATATCTGCTGGTATTTCTTGACAGTGTTATAAACAGTGTCACCGGTATTTATTTTCAATATGTCTAACCTTCAAAAGCACCACTACTTTTTTTTCAAGAAGTCATGTTGTATTAGGCCTTGACTTTCACTTTTTTCACTTCCTAGCATCTCTCCTTTTCTCGCAAGGTGTGGCTTGTTTTCTCAATTGTCCATTCCATAATTGGATCCATTTGGCTCTGCTGTTCAGTTGAGTCCAGTTTTTATTTCTTGGGTAGATGGAGTCTGGTCCAGGTTGATTTACCTTGACTTCTGTGTGCAAGTCAGAGTGGATCTGCCTTACCAGCATGTTGCTGGGCTTTCTTCTGCATATCTGGCTGTAATGCGCACTCTACTGCCTTTTTCTGTAGACCTCTTAAAAGACTACTTACCTCTTTATAGTTAATAAGAGGTAGAGAAATATCAGAATTATTCTTTACTGAAAAACCTCTGCATTCTTTAAATACCAACAGCAGGATTTTGGTGAGCTAGCTACATGCAGACTTACAGATCAGCTCATTCACAGGTTTTTTTCCTGAGACCCTCTGCAACAAACTAATTTCCCTACCCCAGGATCCAGTATATAGAGGCCACAATAGCATGCCAGTCTCACTTGGTTACTGTCAGGCATAGTTTTATATTCTATGGTCCAATTAATTTCTTGCTTTAGTTATTAATCAAGCTATGTTTTCCCATTAATATTAGAAGATGTTTTTATTTTTTCTCAGTTGCTCAATTTTTCCTGTCAACTAAGCTAACTTTTTATTTTGGGTACTAACTTTTAAAATGAAAACTAAAAGTTCTTAGAACATAAGGAAATCAGTCAAAACGTGGTGCTCATACAGTTACTTTATAACCACAGGGGCACAGACGGATGCATAAACTTTTGTAGTGCACGGGCAGTCAAGACACATGCCAACTAGCTTGGTATAACTGTTTCTTCTGTCAGTTCCTGTTCCATACTAAATTATACTAAACAACAACCATTTTCTCCTGTAAGAAATTATTGTAATTTGGGTTTTCTTACTGTGGAACAGGAACAGAGACAAATTATTAGTGCCATGTTCAACTGCATTGGGTGTCTTCAACCCCTTTTCAAAGTGGTATAACTATCCAAGCACAGGAAGCCAAAACTTACAATTGTAAAAGCAAAACTTTCTGAAGATTCATCCCAAAGACTTGGAAAGAGTGACAAGGATTCAGGAAAGCCTGTAGCAACGTGCTTAACTTGAAACTAAGTGCTTGCCTCAGTTTATTTCAGTAAAATATAAGCATGTATTTAAGTGCTTTGCTGAATCAGGGGCCTCATAACTTAATCTACAGAAAGAGAAATCTGATGGTGTTGGTTGGCCAGTGCACACTGAGCTGACAGTATAATGGGGGATCAAATGTTGTAAATCTAATAATATAGAATTAATCCATTTTACCTTTTGCAGGTGGAAATTTACATTTTACCTTTATATATTTACCTATGGAGTACGGTTCCTGAAAAAGGTAGGAACTCCCATTATTCTATCATGCTTTTAGAACTGATTACAAGTCTATTTAAAGTCATAAAATATATAATTATGGTTTAAAAATACTCAATCACTAACAACAAAAATGTGGTTTTGTTATTCAGATATATGCCATGATTAGCTACTTATTATTGGCTATTAAGGCTGCTACTTAAGCAAAACACCTAACCTCCTCTATCCCTCAAACAACAACAAACAAAACACCTTTGGAAGATTATTTTGATGGTGAAATTGTTGGTGTAATAACATGCCAGGCTTACTCTAATATTTATCACATTTAGGTGTTAAGCTGTTAAAGGTACTTGCCAATATATTTATATTTAATGTTAAATTACATTTAGTATATTTATTTGACTACAAGACAAGGTGTTTTTTTTCCTCTGCAGTCAGCATGGGGAGCAAAATTGTCTTACATTCGCATACAAAAAAAATCTGATTACATAGATGCATTGTCTATCATTAAACTACTGCCAAAAGTTCATGTGCTCAGGAACATGCTCAGATCATGTGCTCAGAAACAAACTGTAAAGTTGATTATAGTCATGCTCAGTATTGGCGGCGTCTAAAATACATAGCTCTTATTGGGCAAACATTCTGATGGGAACCTACCACAAGAATAGGTTACTGCAGCCCATCTGAATAAGATATATGGTAGTGCTCATTGTGCGTAGTCCCCCTCAGCACCAACTCTTCTTCCAGTCATGGTGAACCACTACTTTGATTACGTTTAGACTTCCTCTTCACTCCCACAGCTGAGCTGCACCTTTAACATATTGTGAAACAGGCTTAATGCAAAGTGATTTAAACAATTGTTTTTGCTTGCTATTTGAACCAGCAAACAGGAAACTTTGATTTAAATAATCAGTTTTAATCTTGTTATTAAACAGGTTCGTTTTTATTAAACAAACATTATTTATTTAACAAATTAAGTATTTGGTGTAGTTAGTAATTTGATGGATTGTTTCTGGTAGAGGTGTACCAATACATTGGTTCATATCATATCAGCACTAATTAAAAGGAAAATTGACATTATTGGCAATTGGCTTTTTTTGACTGATGTGGCCAATAATGTTGCGGATAAATGCTGTGTGCAGGTGCACAGCTGCAGCCTGCTCATGGCCAGGACTGAAGCCTGGCAGCTTAAAGGTCAGCATGCAGCTGGTAAGTCTGTCGGGGAGGGAAGGAGCATGGTGGGGAGCCAGATTGAGGTCCCCCTTGGTGCAGAAGGGAGTGGGGCAGGGGCAGGTGCTACACAACCAGACTGCTGGTGTGCAGGGGCTGCCCGCTGAGGTCTGGAGACAGTGCTTGGGGGG